AGAGCCCAGCACTCACTGGAGGAGCGTGCCCGGCCGCTCATGAAGACGTTGAGGAACTTCTTGGAGAAGTGGATGTCCGCCTCTGGGGTGGAATCCTCGGAAAGGCAAACCGAGTCTCGCTTCAGCGCGTCCTCCTCGTACTCTTCGCCGATGGCCGACTCGTAGGGCGAGGAGACGCAGTTGTCATAGACGGTGGCCGAGTCGCTCTCGTCGCTGTAGCCCGAGTAGCACTGCTTGAGGCTGACCAGCTCCAGCTGCACGTTCTCGTCCACCACCAGTGTGTACTTGACCGAGTCATAGGACAGGGCGCTGGTGTCTGAGCTCACTGAGGCTCTCTGAAGGTTGTGCCCTGGCCGGGAGCCACCACCACTCCGCAGGAGGCCCTGGGCAGGTTTGTCTTGTCGGGAGAGGACATGTAGTCCAGCACCTCATCCTCCTCGCTGATGGAGGGGTTGGTTTTCCCCACCAGGGCTGAATAGCCGGAGGGGTCAATGTCAGAGCTGATAGACATGCGGTTCTCGCTGGACTGTGACAGGAACGGCTTGTCAGTCTCCAGAGTGTCTGAGTTCTTCTGCACAGGTGTCAGGTAGATCTCCTCCGTGGCCTCCAGCCTCACATCCGTCTGGTAGCGAATGCGGTCCCGGTGGGCCTCGGGGACCCTTGTCGTCACCACCACCATGCTGGCACCGTGCGGTGGGGGCCGGCTGGTGGCCTGGTGCTTCTCGGGTGGCCGGGACGAGGTGACGCAGGCGGGTGCCATCTGGGTGGCCGCCGTACGCCGGCACGGGCTCTCTGTGGATGTGCCCCGGTCTTTGGTGGAGGTTGTGCTGTTTTGGTGATTGACCTCATCACTCAGGCAAACGTGGTCGTGGGGAGGGGTCTGCTCACCTGGAGGAGGAGGACAGCAGCACTGACAGCCCCGCAGAGGGGGATGCTTCCTCCCAGGGAAGGTGCCCAGGGATGGTGCTACCCAAACCCAAGATGGACATGCACCCTGCATCCCTGTGGGATGTTTTCCCCATCCTTGCCCCAGGCTCCTGAGAGCCATGAAAGGGTGCAAGGAGCTGCCCCTGGCCAGCAGCCTGAGAACTCACCCGTTTTCAGAGGGGACGATGACCGGGACACCCGCTCCTGCCAACTGTGCTTTTTCCCCAGAGAATTATTATTCAGAGTGTCCTGAGGAGAAGAACAAAGCTGCCTTGTAGCCCAAACAGTAAACAGCACGTGGCACGGCGGCACCCATCCCTCCCTGGGTCTGCAGCACCTGCTCAGCTCCCCACTTGCTGGGGCACACGGGGGTACCTGGTGCTCTGGGACCCCCCGCCAGCCCCACACCTTGTCATGCCACTGCGAGAGCTGGCATGGTGGCCAAAGCAGGGTGCGCCAGGAGCCAGCTGGGAGGCAGACATCCACCCTGGGGAGACTTGGCTGCAGGAGTCCACAGCTGGATGGTCCCAAGCCAACAAACTGAGACCTGAGCCTGCCTGGAGCTCTCCTGGGCTGGGTGGGCTTTGCCCCCATCCCTCTGGCCCTGCCTGCCTTCTAACCACCCAACTACTAAATGGTGGAAGTCCCAAGGGCCAGGGGTTGTGCTGCTGCCCAGCTGGGAACCAGCTCTGGATAGGCTAACGGCTGCTAGGGACTCATCCACACTGGGCGTATATAGGGGTATACATATGCACACATACACATATATATAGTCTACTAGCAGACATCAATCCTGACCAGCTGGAGAGGAGAGGCAGGATGGGGCTGTCCGTGCTCGGGAGAGTTTCTGTGGGTGCTGTGCCCTGCCTGCCTTGCCTGGGGGTACACACACTCAGCCTCAGTGTGAGACCCGGAGACAAAGGCCACCAGGTCCCCTCTAATGAGGACTCTGCTGCAGCCCCAGCCCCGGCCCCCATCCTCTCCTCAGCCCCCAAGTTCTCCCTGGCTGCCCACCCCAGCCCTTCCTGTGGGGCACCACGTGTTTCTCCCCCAGCTGCAGCAGCGGCATTTTCCATGCCGCTAGATTTTGCTCAAGTACGAGCCCCGCTGGGACTCTCTGGATTTTCTCACGGCCAAATCGCCAGCCTACAGCTATTACCAGCAGCGCAGGAGCTGCCCCGTCCTTACTTTGCTTCCCCACCAACACGAAGCAAACCTTTGCCCTGAAACTCCATCACATCGCACACTGCTGAACTGCGGCTGCCAGATCTCTGTGGGGAGGGGACAGACCCCCACCATGAGGCTTCGGTGACCTCCCACGAGCTCCTCCTGTGCCAAGGCAAATAACGGCGCATCCCTGCTTGCCTTTTCCAGGGACATGACGGGCTGGGACGCGGGCCAGGCGAGCTGCCGCAGCGACAGCCTCTGCGTGCAAAGTGCCACGGGGCCAGCACACAAGCCAGCCTGGCTGCCTGGACCGGGAGACAGCAATGCAGCAGGCAGAGCCCACCAAAGCCACCCATCCCGCAGGGCCAGGGCTCTCAGGGGTGTGGAATGCCCAGCTAGGGTGGAGAGGCATTCCCAAGGTCTTAGAGGATGAATGTAGCCAGCCCCAGGAACTGTTTTGTCCCCTCTAGGGAGTTGGGGATGTTCCTCTCGCTGTTTGCAGGCCACCTGCCTGGGATGATGCTCCCTGAGATCCCCTGACATCGCCAACCCAGCTCCTGGCGCCGCAAGAAGCTGGAGCAGAGGGTGGAACGATGCCCTGCTTGTGCACGCCATGCCCAGCAAGAGAAGGCTGGAGGCATGGGAGGGCAGCCCAGTGTCCCAACTGCGCACTCAAGAGAGGATGCATGGCCACGGTCCCTCTTCAGACCACCTGCAGGACAAGGGAGCTGAGCTAGTCAGGGGGGTGCAGGAGGGTCTGGGATGCCCTGCACCCTCTCCTCTCCTCAGGGCACCACACTTGGGCATGGAAAAACTGCCTTTGGCAAGAGGTAGGCATCAAGAACAGGCACCCCAACCACCTTACAGCCAGCTTGCCTCTCACTAGATGCCACCAAGCCCTGCCCGAGCCCTGTGCCCCCACCCCCACTGGCTCCAGGCTCCCACTACCAGCTGTGGCAAAGCCCCATCTCCCATTCCCTATGTCCTCAGCCTGGCCGTGCCCATGGTTCCCAGCGTAGTTCCACAGCCTCCACCATCCCCCTGCCAGGGGACCATCAGCTCCCCCCTACCTCCAGCCCTTAAAATCCCCTCTCCCCAGGCCTGCGACACTGGTTAGGACCAGCTGCCCGGGAGGGTGGCCTTGCTGTCCCTCATCCTCCCAGCTGGATGTAGCTGCCACGTGCCACTTGCTCGTTGGGGTCCCCGTGCAGGGTGGGACAAGGCTGTCGCTGTCCCCTTGTCCATTATGCTCGGTGGGGCTCCCCCCGCCTCCCCAGCCCTGCTGCCTTTGTCCCCGGTGCCAGCTGCCCTGAGGTTGTCCATCCTGGCTCTGTGCCTTCCTCCTCCTCCTGCCCGTGGCCTCAGGCAGAGAACTGGCATCAGCTGCCTGTGCTGGGCTGGTGACACCCAGCTCTGACTGTTCCCCATCTGTCACCCACAGGGACACCTGCCTCTCGCTTCGTGCTCCTCAGCTCAACGTCACCACAACGAAAATCCTCCTACTTGGCAGAAGGCATGGCTGAATGCAGGAGGGTGGCAAAAATAGCCCAACGGTTGTGCATCTTGCATGGGTTTGGGAAGTTTGCAGGAAAGATGGGGCAAAGGGACTCTGGCCACGGCTCAGAGGGTCAGGGCGTAGGGCACCGAAACACTGCCTGCCCCAGGGATGACAGCAACCCCATGGCTGCGTAGAGCGGGCGGGCAGTCTCGGGGCAAACCATCTGAAACCTCACACAAAATCTGAGCGCGAGCGAGACAACAGAACTCCCTCGCCCTCCCGGCCACCATTTTGGGCGTTGCCATTCTGTCTCACAAATTTTGCACGGGGTGCTGACATTAATGCTTCTTTTGCTGTGCGCCACCGCTCCGGAGCGGAGCCCCCCGAGTCCCCACCACTGGGCCTGGGTCACCCAGTGTCACCATCCCCCCTTGGGGCTGGTACTGCCCAGCCAGACGTTGGCCAGCAGTGCCAGCCGTGGGCTCATGGTGCCATAACCCGTCCCGCAATGCCTCATTCACACGTTCAGGACACCATGCCTTGTTGGCTCTCCATCACTTTGCCCCCACCCCACAGCTCCCTGCCAGGCCCCACGGGCTCCTGGGGGGGCACAGCTCAGTCCTGCCACTCTGCTGTCCCTTCCTGGCCTGTCCTCTCCCTTATCACCAGGCATAGAAGAGGGACCCACCCGGTGTTTAGGGCAGGGGGCTCAGCAGTGCAAGGGGGAGGCAGGCCAGGGACAGGGCACATCCTCGTGTCCCCCCCGGTGCCTCCCAGGCCCGCGGACCGC